TAAGTTTGCCTAGATAACACACCTTGTGTAGCTGGATAATTCGATCCCTCGTCCAGTTTTAGTTGATGCAATACACGTATAGCTTGAAAAGGAGAAGATGAAATGACACCCCGTATGTTACTGTAGACAACACATACTCCGTTATCGCGTCGGACGGATCGTTGCAACACAAGATATGCTGGTAATTTGTGCTATTATATGAATATTAAAAAAGAAAAATATGGTAAAATTGTATACTTATTTCAAAGGGTATATGATGGGTTTGTTACCCAAGGAATAAGTTTTTCTTTGTGTACCTTACGTTACTCTTTGTTACTTGCGTTCATCTGGTTTGGCTATTAATAATCTTCTGATATTCTTATATAAAAATACATTATCATTTGACCCAACCGAAATCAATTCATCGGGTGTTTCGTCGACGGAATTTCTAAATGCCAATTAAAAAAAGTAGTATTGTAATCTTTCATCGTTAAGATTAGCCGGTAAAGTGATAAAACGTAGAATATGTTTTACAGCTATTCCTTGTCAAGTATCAAATCGTCACAATTTTTATTTCTAGACAATCTATATTACAATATGTAAAACAAAATCATATGATATCAACTATAATACAAATTTTAAGTTAATAAAAAAAAGGTTTTGTGATTTTACATCAATATTTCTTCTTTCAGGAAACCTAATGCTCGGTAGTAATTATTGTAGACCTTGTTTATGAGATTTTCAATTTCTAATTGGGCGTCTTCAACGGAATGAATGGTGCAGTCCTGATCCACACATAAAGTCTGGGGCTCGCTTGTGTTTGCTATTTTTAGCATCACGCAGTATTTGAATGTAAACCGAATCAATTTGCTTACTATATGACATGTGAAAAACTTTTTCACCATACTAGGAATTACTGAAATTTTCAAATTGAATTTATAACGATTATCGTCATTGTATTCATTTAGTGTTTGCTTCACGTTACGGATTAAAAAGACACTTCTCTTAATAAGCTGTATACTTGAATCACACTGGCCTCCACGTAATTCACTTAACGAGTCTTCTAGAAAACTCATCGCATCGATTATACAGTCAAACATCATGTAACTGTTTCCTCTTTGACCCAACGCTAAATCGAGCAAATCCCAAAATTTCTCATAGTTCAATGGAGATCCTTTAGCTCTCGGACGTTTTGCTTTAGAGTTTTTTTGGCGATGCATTCGGCAACGGAGAATATTGCTCACACGTTTTCCCTCACGTGTTATTTCGTATAAAATCAATCGAATGTAGGACAAATAATCTAATATGGCTTTCGCGTACACACATTCCATCAATCGAGCGGTCATCCAGTATTTCTCGTAGACATTTTCTTCGGTTACGTAGAAATTGTCGGGTTCTTCGATGGGTATAAACAGATTAATGCCGGAAAACGAATACGCAGATAATTGGTGTTTGCCTTCGATATGGTCGATTTGCTTCCATCCAGGATGGCTAAGAATGCCGTTGAGTCTAAAAATTAGATCTTCGTTGTCATTACACGATATCAACATTTGTCGATAACTGATTATTAAAAACATTAAAAAGCCATTTGTCACACTGTAAAACATTCTTTTATTCAAACACTACTGTATTATTCCTTCTTTTTTTTAAAATAAATATAGTATCGCACTCTTCGGTCAACGAGTAAGATGTTTTAATTTAGAAACAACGATCAGATGAATTCGCGTTGTAGCGTTTCAATGAAATGGATGAATTTTTTGAAAATTATTATTCGATCACTCCAACATATTGTTCACACAGATGTAGTTGAAAAAACGTCAGCTAAAAACTAAACAAGTGCGTGGTTTTATATGTCTGGTAATTTGTAAACAAATAAAAAAACTCGATACTCTTTTAGCGACTGTTGTCTACCAATATTTTAACGGTGACCTACTACATCTAAGTTATAGAAAACACTAAGTACGTACATTAAAACTAAATCGTCGATGCTTTTGTTAACTTTTTGTCTGTATACCAAAAATTGAACAAAAACCAGGTAGGTCACATATTGAACCAAAGTAAACCGTAATAAATCTAAAGAAAGTGTCGGTGTAGGTCAGCCGTTAAACGAATGCCGGAAAGCATTCAAATTTGTTAAATCGTTAATTGTTAGATGCTAAGAAATTCGATTTGATGTTTTAGACCTATGGTGTCCAGACTTTTGAGTTTAATTTGTACCGTTTTGTATTATTAATATGCGAGTATACATAAAAATTAATTATATTTAAAAAATATATACACTTATTTAAAGTTGTTTTATGAATTGTTTGTAACCCAAGGGATACGATTTTCCTAGTCCACCTTTTTCGTTACCCTTTGACACTTGTGCTCTTCCGGTTTTGCTACTACATTAATAATCTTTTGGTACATTCGACCCGACCAAAATCGTCGGTTCATCGGTTATTCCACGGACGGTAATTTCAAATGCCAAGGATTAAAAAACAGAAAAGTGGTGACCTTTGTCGACCGTTTAGCGCGGTACAGTGTGACCTTTCGAAGGTTAAGTTTAGCCGATAAACATTGCACGAGTGTGCACCCTACTCGCGGTTTTTTATCGTGTTATTATTTTTTCGCTTCCGTTCTTTACTCGGTCGCATCCGACTATTTATTGGCCTTTGACGCCGGCCAATATAGCGATGTGCAGTATTAGGTGTGTATGTGTATGTGCCAAAACTGGAAAAGTTCGAAAAAAATGTACACATCTCGTCGTTTGGGCTCGTTACCAAACCATAAAAAAAAAAACCCACAGCGCTGATTAAAAAAAACATGCTCAATTTTGGCACTATATACAGAGGGGGTCCCACGAAGACCTGACAAATGAAATGGTTATTGATTTTATTGACAATAATCTGCTCAGAATTTTGATAACCAGTTTTTCATAATTACTTTTGTTATTAAAGGTTATTAAGTTATTAAAGTTTAAACGGTATAACGTGAACCTAATTATGGTTAAACGATGCAATGACCGTTTGAGTAAACATTGGCGAGTTAAGTATTATATCGATTCCGTTGTGTGGACAAGACAAATTGTAAGCACAATTTTACAATTTCTCATCAACTTAAAAGTGACACAACGATCAAATCATAACTAATTTCTGATAGATTTATGCTAATAATTAAACAAAAAAAAACTATTTCTGCTGAAATGAATATGAATTAACTTTTTCAAAAATTTAGAAAAGACCATAAACTTATTGCAAAAAAAAAAAACTATGCTAACACTCGCTTTTGCAGCTAGTCCTGTGTCAAGTATCAATGATAGTCACCATTCATGTCTCTTGTCTCTGCTATTTTTTTTCCGTCATTTCCTTTCGGTTCACGATGACTTCGATGGAAATAATAACATACATTGTGTGTTAAAAATCATGCCCAACATAGTAGTTGAACAGTAAAGGAGCTTAGCTCTCTTAGCTGCCCTGCATTTGCAGTTGCTGCGAGCAAAATGACAATACGCTCAAACAGTTTGGATTAGCTGTCAAAAGTCCACAGTGATCAAGTGACGATAGCTTGTCACGTCGTTAGAGAGTTTACACCGTGTAGTTTAAACGGGCAAACGAATTTCGGATTTTGTATTCTGGATAGCACACGACGTCATCGATATGATCGTCCACGGCCTAGAATGATGTTTGTTGAAATATATATTGTAAACAGCACACGTGCCTCGGTCTAATGGTATCAAAACTAACTGTAAAACTTTACCAACAATCGTTTATGACCGAGGAATATAATGGGGGTTTTGTTTTTTTTTTTTTTTTGGCAAGCTTCAATATAGAAAAAAAGCTAATTGATCCGACAAGTGTTGGACGTTAGTAATATATTATGTATCAGTAAATACTGTAAAAATGTTTAAAAAAAAAATGATTTCAATGCCAAAAAATTCGACAGAATACTATTAAATTAAAAACCGTCGACGTTACTCGATTATGGTCAACTAGATTTTTAGAAGATGTGTTTTTTTTTGTTATTGTGTCTGTTCGAATTGTAACTCGAAAGCTTAGTCGTTCAACTAGCAAGTCAATTTGTTCTACAATTCAGCGAAATTAGCAATAAAAGTAAATTGTATCACATGAAATAAAAGTGTTAATGTTTCGTAAAAATAATTTTCAAATAACATTATTCGAATAAAAGAAATGTTTTTTATTACTAACATATTATAATTAATATAATAAAATTATATTTGCTAAAACTTCGTTGCGATAAGTTTTACAGGCAAGTATGTTATATTTAATTAAATAAAATTGTATCAGCTAGGCGAAACACATGATACAAGGAAAGGAAACTCATTTCGAGTTCAACACACGGTTCGCATGTATACGTTTGACATAACTCGTTAAAAAAACTTTTGAAACGCTTAAGGTCGGTTTAAAATTTATCGCATTTCAAGACACACAATCAGAGTTGTGAATATCTTGAAGTTTTTAACTCTAGGAAATATCCAACTCGAGTTTTCCAATAAATAACTATCGGTGTGTGGGTTGTATTGATTTTTTGGGGAATTCAACATTTTTTTAATTACCCAAATAAATTAATTTAAAAAAGAATTATTCAAAAAAATAAAATGTATTTCTTTTTTTTTTTACAGACAAATTGTTTGTTGTGTAATATTGGTTTAGCTAAAATTGTTCGTGTTTTCTCTTGGGAAAAAAAAATTAAGAATACAGTTCTCTAAATGTGTCGATTATGGATAACATTATCACTTTGAAGCAAGTTTGTTTCACGTTGTTGTGTAATTTTAATGGCGACTTAAGATAAAAAATACTATTGTACTAGTTGCTTTTTAGTGCATGTAAAACAAGCGGACAAGGTTTAATAAATTGATCCATTCAATATGTCATAGGGTTTTAATAAGTAATTACATTTTTGGTTTTCTATAACATATAATATCATTATCTTTTATCAGTTTAATCAACTTAAACAGTAACGTATGTAAATACTTAATTAACTTTTTAAATTAAGATTAAGGTAATTAAAATGACGCTGTGGATAAAATAACTATCAAAATGTTTTTACATACGCTTTTATATGAATTCATACAGTTCATTTATTATTATATCAATTATATTAGACTTAAGCATTTTTTGTTCAACGCGTACGACAAAATTACCAATAATAATACTTGAAATAGTTATATAGTTAAGAATATATTCGTAATAATAATTGTGTGTATATAAGATAAGATACTTTTCGAACGGTATCTAGTTTTTAAATTACATCAATACACGTTGCGGACCATCTCGAAAAGTGACTTTACAGTTTACACATGCGATTGACAGTAATAATAACAATTATTGTTACAATATACCTAAATGAGTACAATATTATAATATAATATAAATGTACACCGAGCCAACAATCAGGCTTTTACACAGTTTACCAATATGAAACGTATATCCTCTAAGATAGGTAAGATTTATATATAAAATATTATAATTATATTTACAGTAACATATTATATAATAATATAAACTAAGTAATGTATACGCGTATAGCATTTAAAAGTGTACATTATAATATAACAGCTGTGGTTTGTCTCACTAAAAGGACAATGCCGTTTCATCTGAAAAACTAATTGCATACCAATACCTATCCGGTTCTAGAGAACTGTAAAAAAAAATACTCAAATTAACTCAACGAAGGGTAGCTGTCTTTCACATCATAAAGTAACATATCACATTGAAGTTCAAACAATACGGATTATTATATATTTTTATAAAGTTTATTATAGCATTTTCAACTGGTTTTAATGAAACATCATGAAAAACAACATTTGTCCTTTGTGCCAGACCATACGTATCAATATAATATTATATAATATAGTATTTTAGTAAAATCTTAAACATAAAACGAATAGTTATATCATATATAATAATAATATTAATACATTACACTATATCATAGTAATTATTTTTACAGGGTAATTATGTAATACAGGGTGTATCATAAAGAACGGTGGGATTTCAAAAGGCTGTAGGTTGAAAAGTATTGGACCAACAGCGCTCTGGTAGGGCTTGGGCGAAAGAGGGAGTTGTCAAGTTTCGAATGACTGCATAGGCGGAGATTAGTTGATTAGTTTTTTTTGGGGGGGGGAGCTAGCGTTTTTCTTCCTAAAACGACCCGCAAGGGCTTCACACCCAATAATTTGGGCGGGCTTTACCAAAGCGCTGTAGGTCCAATACTTGACAACTTACAGCCGTTTGAAAGCCCCACCATTCTTCAAGATATACCCTGTATAATAATAAAATATTAATACTGGAGATAGTATGTCGCGTAGAAGGTTAAAAAATAAAATTTAAAAAAAAACAAGCGGTACTTACAGTAGTTTGTTTAATATTATTATCTTAATTAAAAATAAACAACAACAAAAATAGGGCGAACAGTCTATTATGCGATCTAAGTAGAATGCGAAACGGTTAAAATGTTTACAAACTCTTAAGCGAGTTCCATACCGCGTGGGAGCGAACAGCGATAATGACTTCTACCAGCTAAACACATTAATACTTGGGCAAGTATTTGGACGCGCCATTATCACCGCGAGAGGGTGGTGTTCGGAGATGTTTGGTTTGCTATTTTTGTGGGCGGGTAAGACTAGCAGGAATAAGCAGTAGTGAGTGTACGGAATGTGTCTCAGAATGACTGGTGTGGCGTTTCAAATACGTTGTGGTTAAGAGAGATTATTTTAAAAGCAGTTGAGTTTGACTGAGATGAAAACCGTATTGACTTTTTACTGTCGAACGTTAGGTCATCGTGAGACACACCGTAAAGCTGCCTTTAGGGTCCGAGAAGGCTGAGAATCATTAAGAGGGCGTCGCACCGCCCATTTTTAAGGAGTAAAGTAAAGGCAATTTTTCACAAAATCTAAATTTAAAGATTAAACACTGTGATGTGTAATTATTAGTTCAATAACTAGGACTCTGTTTTGGTAGTTCATTTATTTTTCGGACTATCACAGCATCCTTGAAAGCGATTTGAAAAATGTTTTTTTCATCTCTACTTGTTTAAGCAGACTGAAAATAACTCACTTAATTTTGGTTTTAGAGTAAAAGCACCCATTATAAAATTAAAAGAGAACAATATTCCGGAGGGCAAGACGGTGCGTTTTTTCATTATTCCAAGTATAACGCTCAATACATAGTTTAGAAATAACGACTATTTTGACATTTTTATATGACTGTAACTTTTCAAAAAAATAATTTTTGTTTTTTAAACGCACCATCTTGCCCTCGGGAATATTGTTTTCTTTAAGTTTTATAATAGGTGCTTTTACTCTAAAACCTAAACTAAGCGAGTTATTTTCAGTTGGCGTAAATATGTTTTTACCACTGAAAATCACCGGTGCGACGCCCTCTTAAGAGTTACACAGAGTTGTGTGTGTTTTTTTTTTTATCAAAAAAACCGAGATTGGCCTTATCAGACCCAAGCCGAGTGTCACGAATAGCTGTTATGTTATACAGTAGTCGAATAGTGTGATCGAAATCGACAAATCTAAGCTCGGGCGAAGATAGGGGGAGGGAGGGAGGGGGCTTGGGATTCTAAAAACCTTAAAACTCAAAATATCAGCGCTACACATTTTATTTGTACTTCGGCAAATCAGTTTTAAGGTTTAGTTAGTATCCACAGCCCCCCCCCCCTCCGAATCGGGCGGCCGTGGATCGAAGTAAGAATCATTATATTGTTTTAGTTGAGAAAATTCATTGAAAAAGCGACCACTTATGTAGGTGTCTAACCTACAGATAAACCGATTCCATTCGATCACAGCTGTTGGATGATAGGGGAATTGATGTTTGCGTGACACACTTAATTGTTCCACTCGGCATTAAGGCCGGGGACTTTGGCATTGAAACGAGTGACACTATCTATATAATAATTGTCGTTGTGCTGTTGGTGTTTATTACAGCCTGACCGTTCGGGCGATTACCATGATCAGGGCGGCGACCAGCAGAGAGCGACGGCAGCCGTCGCCGCGGTAGGACCCGGCGCCGTTGATGTTGACGGGAAGCGTGCGGGCCGCGAGCGGGTCGCTGAAGTCACTGACTCCGGCCATGTTCCTGGCCGAGATTTTTATTATGTACTCGGTGTTGGGCTTGAGATTGACCAGTGCGAAAGGACCTGAACGAGAAAAAAAAAAACATTAACCCGATGAACGTTCTATCGAAATAGTTTGAGAAAAATAACTAGTTACACCGTGTTAGTCGGCCGGGAAGAGACATCATTTGAAGTCTATAAGGAGACAATATTGCAACCATAGACGGGCAGGATTATCAATCCGGGATTAACGGAGTGTATTTTTTAAATTTAATTACACAACAAAAATCTCTATCGTCATTCCGTCGAAGGAAACACATTGGACAATGAGTATGACTTATGGCCACACACTGCATAGTTACCTTCGGTGCTGTTAAAGTTCATCATGTTGAAGCTTTCGTAAGTCAACGAGTTGGGCTTGACCAGTTTTTCAATGTACTCGACCCTGTATCCGATTAACGCGTCAGACTTTTTGTTCGGGCTAACCGCCAGCTCGATGTAGTTATCGCCGGTGCTGACGACGGCCAGGCCGCTTGGAACTTGCGGTTTGAACCCTTCGATCAATTGGTATTGTCTGGTCACGGTGCCCAAAGGGTTGGAAACCGTGCACTTGTACCGGCCCAACTTTTCTTGTTTGTTGAACGTGACCTGACGGATGGGGAAAAAAAACAACAACAACAACAATAAGTTTTGGGAATTGTTAGCATCGCCGGAGAATATTATTGTTTAACGCGCACGTACTATGTAATGGTCGTAAGGGTACAGAAAAGGTTTGTGTTCGAAACTCCAAGACACGTTGGCCGGCGGCTCTGCCGAATTCTGGCAGCTCAGGTTAGCCGATTCCAAATAGTAAACGTACTGGTCGATGATTTCGCCTTCCATGTGATGCAAGAATACCGGTTTGTCTGTTGTGAAAACAATAAATACACACTTAACGCGTTGCCATCATAATCATTATTATCGCCAATGAGCCTAGCTGATCTCAACGCTAATGTCCCATGCCTACGACGTTCCTTCCTGCCCTCCTCTCAATTTGTCCCAGTTTATGCGGTTGCCTAATCGTGAGAAATTTTGGAACGACCCCCCCCCCCAGCGGTGAAACATATCCACGTTAAAAGGATTCAAAAGATGAAGGATTTCGTGATGAGTAAGACTTTGAGTAGATGCACGCTTCAAAAAGCAAAAGGAAGGACAATATTGACCGGATGACCTTTGACCACAGACTGTTGTGGATTTTATACATTTATATGGTACCCACTGCGGGTATATATTTATACAACAAGTAATTTTGCGGGCGCACAAAGGAAGCTGACCCGCAAAGTCTGTAGTAGATTTTTTTTTTTATCCACTTTTATTTCTAAATTCAGTTAGCGACGAATCTTTGAAAAAACGCAGTAAAAGGTCGGTGTATCCGGCGGACAAAAGGCGGAAAGGAGAACCCGAAAAGGGTTTTGTGTATAATTTTCCACAGCAAAGACTTCATCTGTAAGACATAAGACGACGACAGAGGAGTGGCACGCTAATGGCAACATCTTGAGATGTTTAATCACTTACGCCTGACTATCAAGTTGATATCTCTGTCTTCGGAAACGGTGTAATCGGATGTAGTCTCAAAAGCTCGGCAACCGTATTTGCCGGCGTCCAAGTGCGAAACGTTGCGCACCAACAACCCTCCGTCTTGCACTGAATATTTGCCAGCTAAAGAAGAAAAAAAATACAAAAACCAAATGCGCGGTTATTAGACACGCGAAAAACAACAATTTATTATTTTTTGAAATATTTATAGTCGGCTTACTCGTGGTTTTCTCTTTGAACGTCAGGTTTTGGAAATACCACATAAACGTCGGTTTAATGTTGCCCTTGACTTTGCATTTGATCAAGTAATCCGCGTACTCTTCCGTGGTCTGATTAGGAGGAGCGTCGAATTCCAACACTTCTGTAACAAAAAAAAAAATCATATAAAATTATATTAGCGCCGTATTAGTATTACTCAAGTCCGCTCGAGTGGCGTTCACACCGAGAGAGATACATTCAATATTTCCCTCGAAAGAAAGACAGACGTTGGACCACGAACATATTTTATGATAAGCCAATTTTCTGTCTCTTATCAGTTATCCAGCAATTATCACTGTCCTATCACTCTCCTCCCCTCCCACCCCCCCCCCCTTTCGTATACCTCCCAACCCTTCTGTTTCACAAAAACTTCAGACAGATATTGGCACGTTGAGAATACTGTATAGTAGATAAAACCTGTTATCGTTTAACGAAAGAGGTGTCGGCAATATTGGCTTGTCTTTGGACTAATCTCACTGGCGTGCTCGATCGTCGACCCGACACCTAATTTTTGTAGTTCTTTAAACTCAGACACGACCAGCTGTGACTTAGCCCCATCTCCACACACACGAATGGGCTTTGTAAATAGATTCTTTTTTTCCGGTTGGACGGACGGCTGAGAATGATGTACGACGCTGCTGTCCTTTCTTGTTTCGTTACACGCGATATCGCTAATCCTACTTAACTTTTTATAGGTATATACTATATATACGTATATATGTATATAAATTTACTCGAGCGCAATAACACCGCGTGTAATCGGTTAACGTAGGTTGTCCCAACCTTGCAAGTCCATCGCATCCCGTGTTTTTGGTTTGTTCGTCGATCTGCTACCGCATTTTTATTTCCATTCTTACCCAAAACAAATAATATTGACGACTGACAACGATGGGGGAAAAACCCGCACCGGTTCCGTGGAAATAACAATAATTGTACAAGCGTTTTTCTTCACATTTGCACAGCATCCATCCGGTGGATTCGACGATACGGATGAAACCCATCCGTCTCGAAATTCGAATCTCTGTCGTCGGCACTATTATCTGTATGGGCGCAGTCAATTGGGGTCGGAAACGTTTCCGGTGTATCTCTTTTCAATAGAGAGCTCGATAGGAAGACCCCGCTCGCGTTATTGTTGCTCTCGGAAGGCCCGTTGTAAATACTTCCTTCGATTACAATTCTTATTATTTTTTTTTTCTTAAATTACACTTTAAATTGGAAAAAAACAAAACGGTTACAGAATCGAGTAACTAGAAAAAAATGTACAACCATTGCTGTAACACCTATTGCGGCTGTAAATGGAGATTTTACAGGATGAAAAAATACATATATATATACCTGTAGTAATACTATTGTGTAACGGACTCGAGGGTTAATAAAATATAATGTTTTCTTTATCCGCCGGGCAGTAGGTACTTTTTGAATTCACAACAACGGCAACAATTACACTTCCTCCAACCCCGGATATGTTTGTCGAAAACGCGAGAAAAGAATGCGAAGCGTCGAGAAAATTATTCTAAAAGTGGCGTTTTGCAAGTTGTTATTGTTATTTTTGGTCTGGTGTTTGGCGGTTTAGTGTTTGTGTGTGTTTTTTTTACACTGGATGTGATAGAAACGAAAATGGCGTGTAGCGATAATGTGTATAAAATCGATTGAAAAATATGAGTTGATTAACAAGAAAAAAAATATATAACACTAATATCTATAATATTTAATCAAATGAAAATAACATTTTATGCCTTTTGTTTTTAGCTCATTTCAGTTCACCGGCACGCAAACAACAGATAAATTATACTGCCAACATACGCTAACCCGATGACAGCAATGACCCTTATGGTATAAATCACATTTTCATACGGTTTGTAAGGCACATTAATTATTTTTCTTAGCTGTTCTAAATCGTTTATAGGAACTCAATTAATGTTTTCGAGCCACAATGAAGTAAATAAACCGAAATAATGCTGCGGCGTGTGACACGAGCACGCCGACGTTAACATATTCGTCCAAAAGCAAATACACCACATACGTCACATCAGACCAAACTTTGTAGACATACTCGGTAGCTGTGGTTGAACAGAACGTTTAATGCAAACGCTGAGAGCTAAGTACATTATCGAGGCATATTGTTGTAATTTAACGTTTACCTTGGAACAATAAAAGGGCAGTTTCTGTACGCGCAAATACTCAAACACAGCAACTAAATACACACATGTTTTCATACTTGACAGCTTTTTGAGAATTTAGCCATTTATCGCAATGCGTGCGCGCGTTATGACACGGTATTTGATTTTTATAATTAGTCTACAATGGTCGACCTTTTGCCCTTGGATTAATGCACTACAACCTATTGTAAAACGCGTGCAGACTATGCGGAATTTACGGTACAAACCCGGACGTTTAGGCCGGATGTGAATTTCCCGAAAGTAATGTTTCATGTTTCAACTTTGTAACTGTAATGCAGTTTTAACGGTGAAAAATTGCGGTAATTGACGTTTTTGCAATACAGCAGCAGTATCGTGTCGTGTACACATTATTGTTTTTAATGCTGTCGAGACTGACGTGTCGTTAAAAGGTAATCGATCGGCAGTTCAACGTGCACACGAATCTATTCGGTATTATCCGTCAAGCTTATCCGTCCCAACCGTATACATAGAGTATAATGGCAGTGGGTGTACTCCTGATGACCTGTGAAATCAAACCGTCCGTACTACTTAAATGTTGTCTTATTTAGACAATGAACCCTATATGTGTAATGAGTATTCACATTGAAAAATGTCTCCATCCGGGACGCAGCCGTTTTGTGTACCAATTTCATAGAAAGTAAAAACGCTATGTTAGGTTAGGTGATGATAACACGATGATAACTCCGTCATATATTCGATAAATCAAACAATAAATATCGTGGACAAAACAATAACTGTACACATGTACAATGTACAATAACAGTCCAATGCTTTTAGTCGACATTAACTCACACTGTCAAGTTGCACTAAACTATTGAACAAATACAATAGTTCGCCTATTATTAAACAAACAACTATACAGGTAATGTTGATGAATTAAAAAAAAAAAAAGAAACAACTTATCGATTAAATCTGCTTTGGGAACACACGTGAACTTTGAATGGTGAAAGATTAATTAAACGTCATCACTGTATCGTTTTCTGGCCTGATCTTCTACATCTACCTTATCTTATCTGATACTATTTATTTGCCAGATGTACATCGGCTCTCTTGAGTATATTTAGCACTTCTTCATTGTTTACACTTTCAGTTAGAGGTATTCTGAGCATTGTGCGATTCCACTGCATTCCAATTGCATGTATGACCTTCGCACAAGAGTTAGTTGTGTGAATAGAAGACAAAATATAACAGATCGTAGCAGTAGCTGACTCGAAGGTGTGTTAAATACATGGGAAAACAGTGACGGGCAAACAAGTGTGGAGAGAGAATATAAGGGCGGTTCATATAAAACAGACACGTTGATGAGATATTGAGTTCGGAAAGCGTGTACAGTAATTCAAAATTGGATTTGAAAAGCACGTTGTGTATTAGGGTACTCGAGAGTTTATTTCGGAATTATATATTTTTATTATGATCTGATCGCTTCGAGTATTTTTGCCGCCATACAAGCCCGGTTGAATTACATAACCACCCGGTCACACACGTGTGCGAAAAGTGTTGCCCGTCAAAAGTAGTACAAATCATTTTCGAGTAGATTTCAATTAAATTGGCACACACAACAAAAACCTACAATTAGGACATCCGATGCAATGTTGTTGTTTTGTTAGCTACACGTGTCAGACCTCGTGTGATCGTCACGCTTGGTAAAAAGAGAAGTAAAATGATGTTATACATTTTTCCTCATATCTCCTCGTGCGTCATCGAGTTGTATGCAACACACACATTTGAAACTCGACACCGCGTTACTGTGTGAAATATTTTTTGACACACCCCTACTGCTGTTTACATGGCGGACACATCGAACCACGGCGGTGTGATTAGATACATTTTTAGGTTTTTATTTTTTACTAATTAAATAGAGGACTCGCTCGCTGACAGAACCGCGAAGTTAATAAATAATAATAATAACAATTGAAAATACAGTGACTTCGCGTTAAGTATTCGGGGTTGATTTATTGCATTATACACACAAATCATAATAAAACGAAACGAATAAAATTTATATCCAGCAGGGTCACCAGACCCCGGGGAGAGAATTATTTCGAGAAATAATCATATAACTTTTAATGGCCACAACAAAAACCGGATTTTCTCTTGGGTTCGCGTACTCGTGTGTTCAGTCCATGCGTTCAATGTTTTACTTTTACGGTTCAAAAATGTACCAACGATGATCAGATCAAGTTGGATATCCTCATATCTTATTACTAGACTGGACCTCTTAGATTTACTAACTAAAAGGTCCAGTCTAGAAATGATTAGTAATTCGTCCAATTCGACGAAACTGTGTAATAGTATTTGTTCTTGATCAACAAGAATTTCTATTATAAAATAATTAAATATTTAAATAAACCCCGATCTCCAAAAATAATTCTCTATAGCTTAGGTTTTGTGGTTAAGGATTTATTTAAATATTTAATTGTTTCATAAATTATAATATATAACCACAAGATTTGCACAAGTTTTTTCTAGATTCATTTATATTGTCGTCCTAACTGCCCTTCAGTCGTCTTTCCTCATAACAAGTCCAAACCACTGGTATTGACAAAAAACCCAGACCCATTACATTTTAAATATTTACCAAAAACAAAATTGGATATCCAAAAATACAAAACTGGATCACGTTTTTTTAGAAAAGTCTCAGACTATTGCAAACCAACTCAATCTATTAGCTATAATCTATCTCTACAACAAGTACCAAAAATCGTTTTATCTTTTACATTCATTCCTTTATTTATTAGTTCTAGTCATTCGACACATTTGCCTCAACAACGCCTATGCACTTCAGCATAAAACTTTTGATTTTATTATGACTACTACATTTGAATAGTTCAAGTAAAGACATATCATTAATTAAGCACTCTTTACATAGATGACCATCGCTCATACAGTTTATGCAACAGTTTTTTTTCAAATGAATACAAGT